ATAACCTTTAAAAATCATTATCATAATACGTATAGGAACAAATAAAAAAATGTCGGAAATGTAAGCGCGTCCTATCATTGTAAAAAATAGTGTTCAGTAGCTGAATTGAAAGTTGCTTCGGATCAAGTGATAAACAATCTTAAAAATCCCCAACTGACGTACATCGAGCCCAAATAAGAAACATACAACCAAGAAATGTATGAAGAGCATTCAAACGGCAGCATTGGATACGTCAATTAAATACAATCAAACTTAACACTTAACGAATGTCTGAGTGAAGCTGAGAGTTAGCAAATAAATCCAGGATACATTAAAGAGGTTACAAAGTTAAATTATCTAGTACATAGTATATACAGCCCAGTAAACTTATTCATCTTCGACCATAGACAAGGAATTCCACATACAAAAACGTCTCCTGCACAAGTTTAGTTGTCTGTGGTTTTTACTCAATTAGTTTACGGCTAACTATAAAACGAAAGAACATATTTGAACATTAGCGAATGAAATATTCATATTTGAGATGGTAAATCAACTTAATTCACTAACAATTACAGTATGTTTTCCATTAGCAAGCCAGGCTGATTTTTCAATAGTGTCTAGATAATTTCTGCAAGTCTTGTTACTACTTAATATGTTCGGATATTTGTACAAAGATACTATCATTAATTTCTATGCTTTGGATCACTAACGAGTAAATAACTGCCGTGTTGACAATTTAGTTCTCCACAAGGTTGCAACAACCAAGAATTGTTTTAATTTGACAGATTTAATAAATCTTCTAGATTCATTTTAACGTTTTCGGATGTCTAGTGAAGAGTACATTCAATTCGACAGTTACTTGCTGCATTAGATTCTTGGACACTACTATTACAGAATTAAACACTTTTTTTATAATATCTCATTATAGAATTTAGAGAAATAGTACAGAGCTAAAAGATTTAAGATTTTTGGAGTTAAAGAGAAACACAGCTAAGATATAGCTATGCCATTTTATGACTTTTAAACTCACTTAACATGAATGTAGTAGATATTTAAAAGTCGATATTTTGTAGCTTCTGTTAGAGAAATTGTATCTAGTTTCAATACAAAGAGAAAACAAAATGGGTTTATTTACTCCATATTACAAGGCTTTTTTCAATACAGATGGTATTTATATATATTATAACACAACAGCTACAGAGTACCGAGTTTTTCTGCCTACAATTTATGGTGGATAGGAATCAGACATTAATTTACTCCATGTTATAATTAAATTTGAGCTTTTTCAATGTCATCTTGCAGAATAGAACATTAAAAGAGTATGTTAGTATGTTTGACTGCGTATAGTTCAAAGAAGAGGGTAGGGGAGTACAGTAGAGGGAACTTAGGCATTAACTAACTCCCATGTTATAATCAAATTTAACCTTGTTTACAATGTCATTTTGTAGAATAGAATATAAAGAGTATGGTTTTGGTTGTCTGCCTACATATAGTATTTAGAGCAGAGAAATGTATGCCACATTTCGGCAAACTTTTTTAAGCAACGACCATAGACAAGGAAGCTTGCGAAGTTGCAATTATACATACAAAAACGAGTACTGGGCAAGTTTATGTTAGTTTGCCGGTTTTGCTCAATAAGTTTGTCGCGAACTGCGACCGCGATAGTAGTAAACGGTGGATGAGAATAGGGTGAGACTGTGGTTGATTTGATTTGCTTCTGTCTGCCTGTATGGTATGGAGATGAGTAGAGGAGTAGGAGGCGGTGGGGGAGGGTTTTAGGGTAGGGTAGAGTAGGGTAGGGTAGGGTGGGGTATGGTAGGGTAGACTAGGATAGGGTGGGGTAGGGTAGGGTAGGTTTCTTTTTAAGGTATACAGTCTATATGGCGTCGATGTCGAGGTCGTCGTCAGGTTCGTGCGCTGGTCTCGCGGGTGCGGTGACGGCGCTCTTTATGGGTGTTGCTTTGGCGCGATCGTCGTACTCGATCTGCGGTACAAATGTTAATTATTAATCATTAATATAATAACATGGTAGGCGAGTCAAAACTGTACATTGAATATTTCTTTAAAAGAATACTTGGGTAATGATCTGCAATCGATACCGACGCCAAAAATATAGTTTTTAGATTTTTTGTCTGTTTGTATGTCCGAGATAAACTCAAAAAGTACTGCATGGATTTACTTCAAATTTGGCACGAATATTATTAAGAAGTCGGGTCAACATATAGGCTACATATTATCACACTATCACCTATGGAGAAAGAGCAGTGAACCTTTATTTCTAACTCCACGCGTACGAAGTCTCGGGCGGCCGCTATTTCTTAACAAGAAAAAAACAACAATACAGCTCAGCCGTTTGTAGAGAAAAGAAAACGCAGTCGGTTGCCAAGCGACGTAGTTTCGCTCGCGCTGCGTTGAAGGGTAGAGTATTTACCCTACCCTACCCTTAGCACGAACGAATATCGAATTCGAATAGTTTGCGAGTGCGAAAGTTCTCGTTACGTGCGTTATTTTAACTTTTTATAAAAACAGTTATTTTTAATGATCATCGAACTAGTGACGTGTCTTAAAATGATCGATATTTTTATTAATTATTAAAAATAACTGTTTTTATAAAAAGTTAAAACTTCATACAAATATTTTAAGAAAATTAGAGAAGACCCCTTATATGATGAACTTCAACGCCCTTCAAGCTTTATTTGTATTTTTGTAACACCCTGTATATATATAGTTCAGGACCTTTTTAATTTAACTATAATCAATACTGCCAAGTTAAAAGTTTTAATTTTATTTCTGTCAGTCTACTACAGACTTATCGTGGTCCGACTGTAACTCGTTGGAAATGAAAGTAGAGAGAGTAAATAAAAACTTCTTCATAAAATAATATTTTCTAAAAATCCACCTATTAAAAAGTAACATCGTGCCTTATTTTACGAATTAGATGTCGCAAGCGAAAATCACTTTTCAATTCAATTCAATTTATTGCACTCGTGTGGTTACATCGATGGTTACAAAATGCTTATAGTACCTAACATGAACCCTGTCAGGGTATCGCAATATACAGTACAGTTAAAGATAAAAATTACAAAAGCATCTAATTAATAAACAGTTATGTATTTAAGGAACCTAATTTGTATTAAACCACTTAAATCTCAAATTATGCATAAATGTCATCTGATTCCATTTGTTTAACAATATAACTTACTCAATTGATCTTATTAATAGTAGAAATATAATAGAAATGGAAATTCATTTATAAAATTAAATTAAATTTGTCAATAATTAAAATTAATAAATATGTCAATAAAAATAAAATAATATGTCAATTAACATGATTATTATATACTAGGTTTGTATTTTAAAAAAATCGCCTTATTAGTGTTATTGTGTTGTAAAGTGTTAATTATATATATTAATAAATATATTTTCTTTTTAACTTTGTGCATTCATATATTAAATTATTATCTATTTGTAATTTAAATATTCATCCACAGAATAGAAGCATTTATCAATTAGAAAAATTTTAAGGTTCACTTGACCCGCCATACAATTTTTGGCAAGCAAACATCAAATCGTACGCCAATAATAGTAGGTAGTAAGCACCATTGGTTCATAAAAACACCAACATTTATGTTGCTTTAGTGGTGTGAACAATAAGAATCGTCAAAAAAATGAGTTGCTTAAGCGCATTAAAAAGTTTTCCAATCTTTAGGAAAACAAACAGAATTTTGTCTTTCCACCGCCGAAATGTATTTCGGATGTATCGGATTGGATCGAGAATCGTCTGGATTCACCCAATCATCATCATCATCATCGTCATCAGCCTATTAATGTCCCCACTGCTGGGGCACAGGCCTTCCCTATGGATGGATTAGGGAGATTGGGCCATGACCCACCACGAGGGCCCAGTGCGGGTTGGCGGATGCTAACGACTGCAGATGCAGCCGGGACCAACGGCTTAACGTGCCTTCCGAAGCACGGAGGAACTCGAGATAGTAAATTTTTGGTCACCCATCCAATGACCGACCACTGCGAAAGTTGCTCAACTTCAACGACCGCAGCCGAACGCGCTAACCACTGGCGCCATCGAGCTCCTCACCTATTCTCCCGATATTTCATATTATCTCCAGCCAGCCTTCACCCGTAAGACGATAAGAGTTTTTAGCATAAAGTAATTTTAAATTTGAAATTTACCTCGATGTCCTCGCCGGATTCATTCTCGCTGGATTCTTCCTCGTCGGCGTCTTTGAGCCAGTCGATGAAGGGTTGCGCTCTCCTCAGCACATCGGCAGTGGTTTCCTTGGAGGCGTATTTGCGGGAAGGTTTCGCAGCCCATTCCAGGATCGCCTTCTCTTCCACGATGTCCAGATCGTAAAGTAACTGGAGAAGGTGATGGGGTGTCAATACAAATAAAAGGCAAGGCCGAGTTGAGATGAATAAATAAATAAATATTTCCAACACACACCAATTAGCCTAGCCCCAAAGTAAGCACTGTAAGGCTTGTGTTACGGGATACTAGGGTAACGGATAGAATACATATACTGATACACATATAAGTATATTTTTATAGAAATACATGTTAAACATCCATGACTGGAGTACAAATGCTCGTATTCATCACACAAACATCTGCCCCCACCGGGATTCGAACCCGACCCTCTCGAGTCGGCGACACCGTGAAACCCGGTGCACGTACCACTCGACCACGGAAGTCGTCAAAATTGTGACAAAAAAGAAAAAATATTGCTGTGTCATACAGTATAAATACAAATTACTTTATATTAAGTGTAACTAAACATTAACATCTTTAATATCAAGGAAGTTAGGGCAGACTAATCTCCGCTGGCAGCATCCGTTCACGAGCATGACGCATGACCCGGCCATCGCTTCGCTCAACCATAGTAGTAGTAAACAAAGATATAGTATATATTACCTTATTATAAATTTTTGGTCACCCATCCAATGGCAGTGGTCGGTCATTGGATGGGTGACCAAAAATTTACTATGTCGAGTTCATCCGTGCTTCGGAAGGCACGTTAAGCCGTTGGTCCCGGCTGCATCTGCAGTCGTTAGCACCCGCCAATCCGCACTGCGCCCGCGTGGTGGGTCATGGCCCGATATCCATATTCCATCCATAGGGAAGGGCTTCGCCCCAGCAGTGGGGACATTAACTCACACTCGCACACTCTAATCCGCACTGGATCCATAGGGAAGGCCTGTGCCTTGATGATGATGATGATCATTATATTACCTTGAGCACGGCCGGCACCTTGGGCAGCAGCGTGTTGTGATGCTCGCACATGGCCAGCAGCCCGTTGAGCGCGGCCCGCTGCGCCCTGGAGTCTCCGATCATGATGATGATCATCATATTACCTTGAGCACAGCCGGCACCTTGGGCAGCAGCGTGTTGTGATGCTCGCACATGGCCAGCAGCCCGTTGAGCGCGGCCCGCTGCGCCCTGGAGTCTCCGATCATGATGATGATCATCATATTACCTTGAGCACAGCCGGCACCTTGGGCAGCAGCGTGTTGTGATGCTCGCACATGGCCAGCAGCCCGTTGAGCGCGGCCCGCTGCGCCCTGGAGTCTCCGATCATCATGATGATCATCATATTACCTTGAGCACAGCCGGCACCTTGGGCAGCAGCGTGTTGTGATGCTCGCACATGGCCAGCAGCCCGTTGAGCGCGGCCCGCTGCGCCCTGGAGTCGCCGCGCGTGAACCGCACCAGTAGCGCGCGGTGTTTGCGCACGTCGGCCGCGATGTGACTCGGTCGCACGAGCACTTCGAACATCACCAGGGGCGCTTTCGATTTCACCTCCAACCTGTAGATAGAGTGAAACCCGTTAAACGATGACGTTCGAAAGCTAACTGAGGTGTAGAAGCGCGAGGAGCAGGGAGCGAGGTGACTTTAGTTGCTAGTGCGCGTACGGCGATTCAAAGCTTTGGCCACGGTGACAGTTATAATAATAATAATAATAATTTTATTTTCAATAAGTTGTTACATCATGAACACATTAATTAATCAAATTCTTCAAGTTTTCAAACAATCGTAGATACATAACAGAGATAATAAAAGGTGTATTTTATTTTTGTTTTTTTTTTTTGACTAAACGTAACAATACTGTAGCATTTACTGTGGGTCACACACTAGGAGAAACCTGTATCGTGGGCACCCTAATATAATAAATAGGATGGCGTCACATTAATAATTTATATGTAATTATTATTTGTAACAAAACAAACGTAATGAAATCTATTATAAATACTTAATTAAAATCAATATTATATGTATGTGTATGTCTGTCTATGTGTGTTTCCGTGCGTGTGTGTGTTGGTGTGTGTGTATGTGGAGAAGAATAGATATAGTTTGGGATAGGAATGTATCGATGAGATGTTGGTCTTATTTTGTGTGCTTAATAAGGTCCTCTGTTTGAAGATAGGTCATGCACTTCAGCCTTTTAGTGAGCACGCGTTTGGCTTGTTTCAATGTAGCTGTTTTTATGTCACACAGTTTTGCCATTTTATTATACACATACGGGATACACAGTTGCGTCACGGGCTTGTCGCCAGCCCCCGCGGACATAGAGTTACCCGCGAGTCGCGTATACAAGTGCGCGCATCGTCTTATAGGTCCGTGTATGAGGTGACAGCGACGAAACAGTCACGCTGACAAAAGTCACCAGTGCGCGCATAGCCTTAAGCCGCGTATCCACTAGAGGCAGCCTCGCGTCGAGCGGCCTCGACTTGAAGCAAATAGCCTCAGTTTGAGGCCGCTCGCTCCGAGGCAACGGCTGCGGATCAGCTCGAGGCGTGTCGCCTCAGCTCGATCCGCCGGCGGCGCACTGCGCAGTTAAAAGCCAAAACGCGATGGCGCCAGACGCGCGTCGAGTAGCCGCTGCTTTAATAGCAATAACCGTTATTAAGAAAAAGAGGAGGCAACAAAAAGCTATACAAAAGAGGAAACATCGCTGTTGGATAAAAGAATTATACCGCAATAGAACTATACATGGGTGTGAACACTTGCTATTGGACATGACGTTGGAAGGTGGCGATAGCTTTCGAAATTTTAGCGACCGTCTCCATTAAACACACGGCTCGGACTGAGGCGCCTTTGAACACGGCACAGTTACCGACAAAATATGGCTCGGCTCGCGGCGAAGAATTTGCCTCGCGTCGCGGCGTGCCTCAGCTTGAGGCGGCGTCTCCACTTGCGCAGCCTCGGAGTGAGGCAGCCGCTCGACCCGAGGCTGCCTCTAGTGGAGACGCGGCTTAAGGCTATGCGCGCACTGGTGACTTTTGTCAGCGTGACTGTTTCGTCGCTGTCACCTCATACACGGACCTATAAGACGATGCGCGCACTTGTATACGCGACTCGTGGGTAATGCTATGTCCGCGGGGGCTGGCGACAAGCAACTGTCACCGTGGCCAAAGCTTTGAATTGCCATACGCGCACTAGCAACTAAAGTCACCTTGCTCCCTGCTCCTCAAGCTTCTACACCTCAGTTAAAATTCAAAAAATTCAAAATTCAATATCGTTTATTCAGTCTAGGCTGTTATAAGCACTTGTGAATGTCGAAAAGCTACGCCATCGGTTCGCAAATCTACGGCAGGAGACCTTGTACTGAGAAGAACCGGCAAAAAACTCAGCAAGGGCTGCTTTTTCTCCCTGTTTTATTTCATACAGTGCCGTCCAATTGAAAGTTGACATCAAACTTGCAAACATGTGTTGAGGTCAACTTCCATCACATAATGTCAAATATGTAACAATAGACAATCAACAAATTTACTAACAAAAAGTGCAAAGAAAAGTCCCAAAATAGCAAGAAACAATTTTCAAAACAAAATGAACAAGTATATGAAAGGGAGTAAGTGCAAGGTTCTCTTCAAAACTCTTTCTAAGGATGTTAGCTTTCGAACGTCATCGTTTATATTACAAAATAACGGCGTCAACGTCAACTACGGTGCAAAATGCATTGCATGAAGATGATATAAATAATGATCTTAGATTAAAACAAAAAGGGAAGATACGGCACTCGCGGCTCAAAAGTGATTCGCTTAAATTGTGGTGCATGACCATAATTCGCTTTAGTCACAATTGGCCATCCAAACACGCTGCATGCAAATTCCGCAATTGCTTCTCAACTGTCACTGTAAGAGCGCGACGTGACTGTGGCAAAAAAAAATGTGTGCGTACATACTAGTGTACACACGTAAGAAGTGAAACTTCTTTATGGCCTTATTTTTCGAAAAATGATCTACATGCAACTTTCCAGAAATTGGTTAAATAAAGTTAAATTAGATAAAGTTTAAACAAAAGGATTTTATTATCATAGACATGAATACAAATTACTGCCTATGAAACTGTTATGATTACACGGCTCAGTAATCTAAGGCACATGTTCCACCTCCGACGATGAACGATAAGCGAGTAGAAACTAGAAACGAATTGGCAGTCCTGAGTTAAAATGCACGGGCACGGCTTTTGACAGCCAAGCCAGCTTAACCGAGCGAGTATTTAGTTTTTTTTTTTAGTTTTTCAGGGCGGTTTCCGCACTTAGTCCTAATTATTGGACCATTGTGCGTATCTCATAAACATTCCCGCTTACTCCAGCCAGCCTATATCGGTCCAGAAGGAAAGCAGCCTTGGTAGACTGCTGCAAGCTTCCGGAAACGATTCTGGTGACTGGAGAAGTCGTGCCCGTTGGTCGGCCACACTCCTGCATTCCATGATGACATGCTGTGGCGTTTCTTCTGCCTCCATCCTCTGCATAGGGGGCTGTCTGTAACCCCCATTGTATATAGGTGTTTGTTCAGGGGACAATGACCAGTCAGGGATCCTATAATCCTGCGAAGTTTGTCCCTATTTAGTCTGGTAAGGGTGCGGGCAAAACTTTTATTTACCGCCGGAACCGCGTTTTTCGTTTGCCGGCATCCTTCACCTGTTTTCCACTCCATCAAGTGTGATTTATGAGTTATTTCACGCAGCCACGTTTTAATTTGGGCCTGAGGTATGGGCAGCAAAGGCTCCGGACCGTACATCTTTGTGTCTGCTCCCCTCTTAGCCAGTTCGTCTGCTGCGTCGTTTCCAATTGAGCTGCTGTGTCCTTTTATCCATTGCAGAGTTACCGTGTTGTTAACCGCAATGGATTGAAGTGCCTTGTGGCACTCCATTACTAGGACAGAGTTTATTGTGTTGCTACGTAGGGCTTGAAGCACGGATGCACTGTCAGAGATGATCTTGATGTTATACTCTCTGATATCTCTGGCTGCAACCGCCTGTGCCGCTCTGGTAATGCCAATACATTCCGCCTGGAAGATTGTACTTTGTTTGCCTAGGGTTGTAGATATTTTAATATTCAGGTCGTTTGAGAAGACACCGGCTCCAGTGCCACTGTAGGTTTTGGAGCCATCCGTGTATATCCTAACTTCCCCGGCGCCGGAGTAATCTGCCTTTTTCGCGGTAAGTTGGAAATTGTATCTTCGATCAAAGACGTGTTGACTTAATATTCTATCCATAGGTGCCTCCAGGAGTGGGATCTCCTTCGTGCACTTTTGTAGAATATTGGAGTGTGTTGTTACAGTATTTAATCTCCATAATCCTAGAGATTTTAGTCTCAAGGCTGCTGCTTTCGCCTCTTCTTGTATGACCAGGTCCAATGGTCTTAAATTCATGAGGTACTCTAATGCAGCCGATGGAGTTGTTCTCATACATCCGGTTGCTGCTACGCTCGCCAAGCGTTGTAGACTTTGGAGTTTGGATTTCACTGTGGTCAGTTGGGTCCTGGGCCACCAAACAACTGAACCATAGGTTATAGAGGGCCTGATGACTGCTGTGTATAACCAGAGGGTGATCTTTGGACTTAGACCCCACTTTTTGCCAACTAGTCTTCTACGCTGATTAAAAGCTATGCAGGCCTTCTTTGTTTTTAAATCAATATGACTCGCCCAATTCAGTTTGTTATCAAGGATTACGCCCAGATATTTCACTTGTGTTGTTAGGGAGAGTTTGGTATTAAACAGTTTTGGTAACTGTAGTTCAGGTAGCTTCCTTTTGTTGGTGAAAAGGACTAGCTCTGTCTTGTTCGGGTTTACTGACAAGTGATGTTCGTCACACCATTTCTCCACAATCTGAAGGGCTGAACGCATAACCTTGCAAAGGACATTTTCAGCGTTCCCATTTATCAGAATTGTTAGGTCGTCCGCATAACCAATAGTAGTGTATCCTCTGTCATTCAGACTCCGTATGAGACTGTCCACTACTATGTTCCAGAGAAGTGGTGATAGGACTTCCCCTTGTGGGCATCCTCTGACTACCTTCGCACGCGTGGTAGCGTTCCCCACTATCTGAACCGCCCTTTTGCCAACCAGTTCGGTGATCCAACCTCTGGTGACTTGGTCCACTTTGAGTTTTCTTAGGGCGTGGTTAATGCTGTTGTGCATCGTTTTGTCAAACGCACCTTCTATGTCTATGAAGGCTGCCAGTGTTGAGATTTTATTTGTGATTGCCGACTCTATTTTGTGGACTACTGAATGCAGTGCCGACTCTGTTGATCTGCCTTTTCTGTAGGCATGTTGTTGAGGGTGCAGCGGAGCTTTACTTAGTGCTCCATCCCTAAGGTGTCGGTCTACCAGTCTTTCCAATGTTTTTAAGAGAAAAGAGGTTAGGCTTATTGGTCTGAAGGATTTGGCTTGTGTGTAGTCGTCCTTGCCTGGTTTCGGTAAGAAGACTACTTTTGCCTCTCTCCATGGTTTTGGTATGTACTTGAAGGCCAGGCAGGCCCTAAAGATAGGTTGTAGGTATCTAATTGCCTGACCTAGTTGCCATTGTAGTAGCGCCGGGAATATACCATCTAGTCCCGCTGACTTAAATGGTTGAAAGCTTTTTAGAGCCCATTCTATCTTTTCCGCCGTTACTATTGTTTTTGCCAGGTCCCATTTCTGGGTTGTTGGTGCATTGTGGTGCTCAGTCGTCCACTTCAGGCCTGGCGCCAGTTGGCATCCTGGGAAGTGGGTTTCCAGTAGCACCGCATTGGCTTCTTCTTCTGTTTTTGTATAAGTGCCGTCTTCTCTTTTCAGAGATCCAAGGAGGTTGGAGTTGTCCTTGGACAGAACTTTCTTGAGTCTGGCAGCTTGATTTGTTGAATTGACACTACTACAGAAACCGCGCCATCCTTCTCTACTCTGAGCCGAGCGAGTATAGCTGAGCTAGTATCGCTGGGCGAGTATCGCTGAGCGAGTATCGCTGAGCTAGTATCGCTTAGCGAGTATCGCTGAGCGAGTATCGCTTAGAGAGTACCGCTGAGCGAGTACCGCTGAGCGAGTATCGCTGAGCGAGTCTTATCTTTAATAACTATTGTCACTCAGCTACAAACGAGTAGAGAGAGTTCTCGCCGGCGACAGTGTGATCATTCAGCTATCAACTATTAATATAAAAAAAGATGGCGCGTAACGGAAAAATGTGACAGTAAATTTTTTTCCAACGCCGATAAAGAAGTTTCACTTCAAAAAAATATTGTCACGCAGACAAAAATCATTAGTGCGCGCGCTCTCTAAGACTTTTTACAGGGACTCGACCGAAAACGCGTCTTAAGCGGGAAAGCATATTATGCGGGATTGCATAGGATAGGGAAATTTCAAATGTAGGTATTGAGTTATTAAATGTACAATATTTAAGAATTATATAAGTATTTACGTTATAAAAAACTTAGTGTATTATTATTACGTTAATAAAATTTATAGCTGGCAACACTGGCTGATGATGATGACGTACATATAAATAACAAAAAATGTGTGCGTGTACTAGTGTACACACGTAAGAAGTGAAACTTCTTTATGGCCTTACTTTTCGAAAAATGATCTACATGCAACTTTCCAGAAATTGGTTAAATAAAGTTAAATTAGATAAAGTTTCAACAAAAGGATTTTATTATCATAGACATGAATACAAATTACTGCCTATGAAACTGTTATGATTACACGGCTCAGTAATCTAAGGCACATGTTCCACCTCCGACGATGAACGATAAGCGAGTAGAAACTAGAAACGAATTGGCAGTCCTGAGTTAAAATGCACGGGCACGGCTTTTGACAGCCAAGCCAGCTTAACCGAGCGAGTATAGCTGAGCGAGTATCGCTGAGCTAGTATCGCTGAGCGAGTATCGCTGAGTCTTATCTTTAATAACTATTGTCACTCAGCTACAAACGAGTAGAGAGAGTTCTCGCCGGCGACAGTGTGATCATTCAGCTATCAACTATTAATATAAAAAAAAGATGGCGCGTAACGGAAAAATGTGACGCGTAATGTCCGAAAAATGTGACGGTAAATTTTTTTCCAACGCCGATAAAGAAGTTTCACTTCAAAAACCGAGCGAGCCTTACAGTAGTCGCGTATGATGTAACATTTGAAACCTCACCTTATATTAGTGAAAAAAGAAACAAAACCTACTACAAAAGGAATAAGTCATTTGAACATTATATTCTTAAATTAAATCAAATAGCGCGCGCTTCCCAAACTTCCCGTTACACACTTTCGTTCCATTTCACGAAATCACTCCCACAAATTGCAGGAAAACGAGAGGAAAGATGTTACACATCAAAAACCATTTTGTTTCTAAATATGTGAATCTCTTATCTAATAGACAAGTCCATCCGTCCGTCCGTGGTGCTGTTTCAGCGGCCAAACCGTAAGAGATAGATAAAGAGAATGTTTAAGTTATAAGTTAAGAATAGTCTGATAAGACTACAAACCGGATTTGAGTAACGTAGCACTTCCGGTTTTCGAGAAATCACGTGATTTCCATTTCAAACGAAACCACACAAAATCTCCGAAGTTCTCAATTAATTAAATACATTTTTTTTTGGTGAACATTTGGTTCACTGGTTTGCTAGTACTTACTATAGGTTACTAACACTTAGTTATAAGTTATATTGTATAGTAACATATGGATCTGTGTTGTCTGCCAATATATGATACTATTATTATTATTATTATCACCTGTCAGCCTCGTGCAACACGTCGGCGATGGCCCTGGTGTTCTCCACGTGTCCAGCGTCAGCTCGCTGCTTCAGAAAGCTGTAGAACAGGTCCATGCGTTGCTTCTCATTCTTCTCGCTGTCCTCCGATAAAGTCATGCTCTTCGCGCCCTCCGTTAGATCTGATGGAGATGGGAGGATGAACGTTACAGCAAGCGTGCATTGAGTCACTAAACGCGACCACTAGTATATAAATATAAATAAATATTTCCAACACTCTCTAGCTCTAGCTGAGTTGCGCGATAAAAGTTTGCCGAAATTATGAGAATAGTAAAAACAACTAAAAAGTGACTCATTATTCACCTTAAAAATAAAAACTATATCATCATATTCGTTAAAAAAATTACGACTCCATCTTGAAATTTTTTATGTGATGCCAGTGTCTCATTACAAATTCCCCAAAAAAAGTAGGTATTGCGTAATCAAAATATATACCGATTGCAGCGGAGACATGGAGAAAGTTTTTTTTTTGTTTTTTAAATCAATCTTGGAAACCAGTGGAGATTCACCGTTCACTTGCAGAAAATACTAATTTTGATTTGTTCAAATTTACCCACTTTTTTGGGGAATGTGGCCTAACCTGGTATCTTACGCATGCGCACCGAGACAAATAATGAAAGAAGGCACATTAGCCAAAAAATAATAATAATGACATTTCGCTAACATTGCGCGAGTGTAAGATACAAGATTTGCTATATTGTTTAGCGTACCATGCACACAAGTATATAAAACCTGGTCTCTTTTTATCGCAGTGTTTACAAGGTTACGCTCTATCTAGAGAGTTAATAAATAAATATTTCCATCACTCACACCAATTAGCCTAGCCCCAAAGTAAGCACTATAAGGCTTGTGCTATGGGATAATAGGGTAACGGATAGAATACATATACTGTACATTATATCAGTATATTTTTTAGAAATACATACTAAACATCCATGACTGGAGTACAAATATGCTCGTATTCATCACACAAACATCTGCCCCCGCCGGGATTCGAACCCGGGACCTCTCGAATCGGCGACACCATGAAACCCGGCGTACAAACCAGTCGGCCACGGAGGTCGTCAAAAATGTTTAATAAATGAAAATCCTATGGGAATGTGAGGCTGAGTTCAGGGGGGAGGGGTGTGGGCCAAGGGACTCCTCGACCGCATCTCACACACACCGCGGAACGATTAACTAACGTGACATGACGCCACATAACGTGACTCGTGACATGACGTCACACTTTTTCGTGCGTGTAGCCGGTGTTCCCAGATTTATAAGACGTTATCGTGTCAAAAACATTTAGCCTTTACTGACATTTTTTTTTATCTTATTAATATAAACAACAGAACATCAAACTATACTATGAATTAAGCATTTAATCAAAATTGCTATATTATTCGAATAGACACTGGAACAAAACAACGAACCCGAGACCTCTCGAGTCGGCGACACCATGAAACCCGGCGTACAAAACACTCGGCCACCAAATCATCAAAGATTAAAACCTAATTAGAAGAACTATCACATCATACCTTGCATCCTAGCCCGCACGGCAGCCTCGGAGACGTCCACAGTCCAGGTTCCATCGTCGTCGTCGTCCGTTTTGCGCTCGCGGTCTTTGCGCGGCTTGGGAGCGGCGGGCGCGGGAGTTTCGCCCTCCGCCTGTATGGGGACGGAACGAGATAAGGGTCAGATTCGCTTGCCACAGACTAGCATGGGTCGTAGGTAAGTAAAATATTCCAGTCAGGGCTTGAAACCGGTTTCAAAAATACCGGTAAATAAAGTCAAATATCAGTTTTAGTAAAGGTTTCGTTCGGAGCGCGTCCGAAATGAGAGCAGTACCTAAAACCTTAATAAACCGGTTTAATCCAGAGCCACACGAGCACGCGTCCAGTTGAAGCATCGCTTAAAGTTTGTTTTGTTTGAACTAATCAAGTCACAACTTGTTAATGCTCAGAGATTGATGCATTTATTGACACGTTTGCTAGCGTCTAGTGAGTCAAGTTATTCATTTTGTAGTTGTGTATTTATTTCAGCCGTCAGTAAGAGCGAAATGAAACCCTTAAAAACCGCATAATTGATTCAAAACCTATTTGATTTCGCTTTTTAGGAAAACCGGTTTTTTAAGGTTAAGATAGAGCCAAACCTAAATAAAACGCTCCTAATGTACTTGACTCTGATTTAGGTTTGAAAATTAACCGGTAAACAAGCCCCGATTCCAGTCCCCGTAGCATGAACACCACAATTAACATTATACATATGATGTTTCTTATCGCTTTTAACTGTCAAACTCCAAAGTAATGTGATAATGAGGGTTTGCTGAAATGACGGGCACCAGGTGGCAACACTGAGACGCAAGCTAGGGAATGCAAGACAAGTCTCAGGGTGTATTCCGAATTGTACATCAGTATACTGGCCAGTGGTAATGACGTCACGAAGCCGACGCCATATTGTACTGGTATGCTACCATATTTTTACCGGGAAAACGAACATGACGTATGACGTAACCAGCGAATTTTATTTCTTTTTTATTTAAAGAACAATAATGGCATCCGAACAAAAAGAATTCTTTTTAATTAATGAGGTGAATAAAAAATCTTCTTTATTCGCACTATTTTTAATATGTCAGTGCACTGACCAATATATTTCGGAACAATTCACTAGTATAGTGTCGATCCATGACGTCATTAGCACTGGCCAGTATACTGGTATACATTACGGAATACACCCTCAGAGCGGCCTAAAATGGTGTCACCGAGTGTGACGTAATTTCGCAGGAATGCGCGATGCGAATCAGATCAGAAGTTCTTGCGGTGCATTAATACGAGCTTACAGATATTTGCGATGCAATGCGAATTTGCAGTTATGTGTGGGAACACTCATCCTCCTACTTCCTACTAAAATTATATATGTAAATCAGGTTTTCTTGTAAATAATTCTTGAACTTTACACATTTTTTTTTATTAGACAAGGCAGTCGCTCGTTACCATTTTCGTGATGCAATAATTCAAATATCAAGGATCCCTTCCTTGGGAAAACGATACCACATAATATTTATAGCCTAATCTACACGGAGAAATAACTTTTACATATATAAATCACGTAAAATTGTATTAAAATTAATTTACAAAACAGCCGATACACATTGACAAATTCACCGGGTGCGTCCGAAACGATATATAATTCGTTTTGTATCCTAGACTTTTACTGTCTAACTAAACCAACGATATTAAATACCCTAGATACCACACGTGCGCTCAAAATGTGTCCCAATCAAGAAGTGCTTGAACTCTACTCAAGCACTTCTTGGTTGACAGTCACACGTCGACCATTGAAAAGTCAAGATGCCGCAAAGCTCCGTGAAAAAATGCGAAAAATAATACTTATAGTACGTAAAATGACGTATTTTCAACAAGTATCTAATCAATGTTTGTTAATTTAACGCATTTGAAGCAAATTTTGTTCTAAAACTTACTCTCTTGAGCTCCTTGGAGCGTCCAATGTACCTTTTGGACAGGTTTTGGCCACGATTTTGTTTGTATGGTATATCGTTGGTTTAAACAAGAAAATTTAATGATTTATTTTTCAGTCCTACACCACAGCATGGTAAAGTCTCAATGTATAATGGATCATAAAATAGTAAAATACTCACATTCTTAGCGTCAGTGCCGTCATGCGAGTCATGGTTCCCGTTAGCTCCAGGCCCGGAGCGCTTGGACCGCTTGCCCCGATTGCCCTCCGTCAGCGATGAGCCCTGAGTACAACACAATATACACAATGTCAAACAAATTGCCCCAAAACAGTATCATATATAAAAAAATAAAGGGTTAAACTTACAGATAAACTTAAAAGTTTAACAAGTATATAATTGAGATACCTAAATTCTCATATTGTAAGTAAAAAATTACGTCGTGAAGTGACGTTAAAATTTTCTTCTTTCCAAAAGGCAAGCAAAGGAATCAGTCTAAAAGGCTTGTTAAGCCACAGAAAATAAAAAAAAACGCATAGACTAGCGAAAAGGATTTATGTTAAACGAAAACAGTGAAACAACCTAAACAGATGCATTCTATCTCTCTCTCCAAACAAAACTCATGTGACGTTTTTAACACGTTACAACAGTAACATTAAAGTATTAATTTCTATAGGAGTGCTGAAATAGCAACAAAATATAATTGGTCCGAGTGAATTTTTTTCTAGTAAAAGGACTATGGGCGGAATCGTCCCCACCCATCAACACAAATGAAATGTAGCTCAATTGATAGATCTTGGCAAGATGATAGTTTTTTACTATGGCGACGTTGCCCAAATGCATGGGGTTCTCATGGTATCTTACGTTTAAATAAATATCTCTATCTAAAAAATACCTACTCATTTTTCTTTTCATTAGTGTACAGCGGCGGGCTGCGCATGATCATAAAGATAACAGATTACAAAATAACCCCGCCCCATGCTCCTGCGCAGGCGTCCTAACCTTAGTCACAGTCAGTTCGCTGCATTGGACGTTAACGTGTTATTTCTTTTTGTGTTTTCGGTGTTTACTTTAAGTCTCTTCCGAAAGCTTTGACTTCCTACCCTTATGCTGCGTTGCACATAATCTCGTACCCTCTTCCCTGAGGATCCGAACCACATCTAGCAGTTAAATACTTATAAAAAAGGTTATGAGTGGTAGGGCATAGCGGATTTTCCGCTCGAATTGGAGCGCCCAGTAGAATAACACTCCCTTTTAGTGGTGAGCAAGCACGCAAGTTTTTATAGGCTATGGTGGCCGCTTACCATTGACCAGGAGGGTAATAAGGTAACTTGCCACCCCTTTAACATTAAAAAAATGGAGACATTTTTATAAAAAAGACTCTTTTTTGTCTCAAATGGCTGGTAAAGTTTCCCAGGTAACTCAAAATTCACGGTGTACTAAGCGATTCAAATAAGAATAGGAAAGCCAAGGACCTCCATCTGTCAACTGTTACTTGAAAAGTACGGTTTGCAAATAAATCCTGGAACACTTTTTAGCACTGAGGTAATCTTAGAATAAATACCAAACATTTGTAAACAAAAGAAGGAAATAAATCATATGAAACATAAATAAAAAATAGAAAATGAGTACCGGAAAATGGAAATATGAAAACTTTAGTTTTATTATAAATACAGGTATAAAAAGACCGTGTTTATTTTAAATATATAAAAATCAATTGCTGTTCGTTAATCTCGCTAAAACTCGAGAACGGCTGAACGGATTTATCTTATCTTGGTCTTGAAATGTTCATGGGGGTCTAGGGAAGGTTTAAAAGATGAGAAAAATCTAATATATAAAGAAATTCATTGTGTATAATACTAGCCTGAGAACAAAAACTATAGTCTACCTACACTACAGCTCTACACCGAAGCGAAGCGAGGGCGAGCCACTAGTTTTAAATGAAGTTGTCGTTTAGAAACTTAAAATAATCGATATTTTATTTTATGGGCGAAAACAGCAGTGATGATGATGACTACTCCGACGGTAGTGCAGGGATGAGCGGAACTAAAAAGCTAGATTCTGAATTAAGATTTTTCTCACACAGTCTATTAAGACTAAAAATATTATTTATTAAAATAAATATTATTAAAATTCTGATATTTTTTCTCACTTAATCTTGGTAAATAAGTTTTATTACATAGTCTTTTTTGCTTACTCTACCTAACTGGTTTGAATTGACAGAGATGACGTCACAATATGACGCCCAGTTGGTCCTATTCTTGTTGAATCAATCAATCAATATATCTCTATTCAAATTGGATGTATAGTACAACACTTTTGAATCGTTTAAACATTTTTTCCCCTACCACTCGTTATTGGACATATTTTTTAGCTGCGGAGAAAAACGAGAGAAAAAAACTCCACAACATTAAAAGCATAATGTAACAACATTTACAAATCATTATGTTGTTACAACGTCAATACAATCATAATTTATTTAATATAGAAAACCTGTTGGAATGATTGGAACAGTTCAAACCCAAGCATTTTTGTCTGTAATATAATCAGACACTTTGTAATAAGCTTTTTTAATAAGTGCTTTTTTTATAACATTTTTGAATTTATTTATGGTTAACTCTTGGATATTGCTTGGGACTTTATTGTATAAGCGAACACAAAGACCTTTAAATGAATAGGGATGATGACTAATTTTTTTTTCTTCGTTTATCAGGTAGATTTTCAAAAAGTGTTAAGACACGTATTTTTATTTTTTCACATAATATAAACATTGCAGAGATATATTCATTTGAAAAGTCGCATGACGTCACGTTTGAGTACACTTTTAAGTGAAAATTCACTATAAAGTGACGTCGCGAGCCCCTACTCCCAAACTGACGCGCTAAAACTTTGTCATTTTTTGGTTGATTGTCCAAAGAAAAAATACTTGTCCATTATTTTTAGATCATCTAACTGACGGACTAAATAGAATTTCGTTTACTGTACCCCGTCATCACCCCTATTGCATAGTATATATATACCTGTACAGCGGGGTCATTGGCCGGCGGGTTCTTCAATATGAAAGTGTTGAGTTTATGGTTAAACTCCAGCTGTCCGTGGTAGCCGCACGCCTTGCAGCCCTGCGATATGGTGTTCCGCTTCGTGGACACTATGAGGTCAGTCTCGGGATTGTCGCATTCAGGGCATAGGACGAATTTTCGGATGAACCTGAATATATACAGGGTGTTAAAATAAATCCTATGACAAAGACAAACTACACATTCTGTACACCCAATCAAGTAATATTATAAAATATTATAGATGGGAATCATTTGTACTTTTAAGTTAAAAAAAAACAGTACGCAATGTATAATGCGGCGCGCTACTGCGGCGCTACGAAAAGAATGTGTCTGTGTGTAAGTGCGTCGATCAAAATGTTTCTAAATAACGTTTTGAAAATATCTATATATATATAAAACTGAAAGGTGACTGGCTGACATAGTGATCTATCAACGCACAGCCCAAGCCACTGGACGGATCGGGCTGAAATTTGTCATGCAATGTACATTATTATGACGTAGGCATACGCTAAGAAAGGATTTTAATCAATTCTACCCCGAAGCGAAGCGAGGGCGGGCCACTAGTTAATACATAAATCTTGAAAAAAATTTGTCCGTAAATTTCCCAGGTCTAGAAGCAAAAAATTATCGTCATGATGTTGAAAATGCGTGGCCTTCGACTTAGTTAAAGGGTTTTTTACAACCTGTATAATAGTCATCACCAACCTATATGTCCCCCTGCTGGGGTACAGGCCTTCCTGACGGGTGGAATAGGGAGATTGGGCCATGACACACCACACGGGCTCAGTGCGGGTTGGTGGGTGCTAACGACTGCAGACGCAGCCGGGACCAACGGCTTAACGTGCCTTCCGAAGCACGGAGAAGCTCGTGATAATAAATTTTTGGTCACCCATCCAATGATCGACCACTGCGAAAGTTGCTTAACTTCAACGATCGCAGCCAAACGCGCTAACTACTTGCGCCATCGAGCTCCTCAATAATATAATAGTAAAGATAAATATTTCTAGTACACGCACCAACTAGCCTAGCCCCAAATTAAGCATAGTAAGGCTTGTGTTATGAGGTTCCCGGGTAACTGATAGAATATATATACTGATACATATATAAGTGAGGTAAGCTTTGAAGATCAGCCTCAAAAATAGCTGGTAGCTCAGATCAGATATAGAATCCTTGTCTGCGACCAAATAAAAGAGTTCGTGTTTTTCATTTATCCCAAAGGTTGACTGGGAGAGAATGCTTTAATATTGTTATATTTTTTGGTCACTGATGTTTAAAATAAATCATAATAAAAGGCCAATGTAAGTAAGTATTAAGTTAACATACCCGTCGAGTAAGTCCTGCAGCTTGGCAGAGTCGTGGCTGCCGTTGACGATGAACCGCTCGTTCTTGAAGTCGAACTGCGTCTGCGCACCCAACTCGCAACCAAAGTACTTCGTCGGGTCTGTGGCGATTGACAATCGACTGATATAGCAAATGGATACTAATACTACTACAGCTCTAGCATGACCACCGAAAATGTCAGACTACAGTGGAATTTGACAGTAGTCTGACAGTTAATGCCGATATATCGCTATATCATATCCCGTTTCGGTGGTCATGCTAGAGGGGCTGAGCGTTATTGTAAACAGGAATTTGAAATGGGAAACATTATAATGATACTCAAAAAATATCACCTCTAAATACTATTTATCTTCTTGCCCTTAATTTTGCCCTTGATCTTCTCATTGTTTCTCTTCTCGTCGTCCATATTATATGTATGTATGTATTTTATATTCGTATGTGTATGTATTTATTCATTATTTAAGTACTTGTATATATAAACCTATATGTATATGTAAACCCCATATTTATTGGTATTAACATGTATTTATATTCAGGTGTACACGCTGACTACCTTTATCTATTTTCTTTCCTACTACTTATTTCAGTCTGAAATTTCTTACAGTAGGGCCTACTGTAAGAAATTTCAGACTGAAATAAGTTGTGCCCTTGTACATGTTATCTTTAATTAAGTTGCTCCTATATTATTTTTTGTGTGAACAGAATATATAAATTAATAAAAAAAAACTATTGGTAATACTGACACTTCGCTTGGGTATTCGTGTTTGCTATTTGAAAACTTGACATCAGTCTGTCCTTTTTATTCCTTAATAGCATGATAAAGACAGACTGCTGTCAAGTTTACAAATAACAAAGACGAATAACCACGTATAGTGCTGGCATAAAGGTTGGTTACCAATTGAATTTATGTGACGATGAACTAAGTACTATTTTAATAATATGTGCCATTTTAATATAACAGTTTTTGACGAGTTTCATATCGCGTTTTTATTAAGCTTTAAAATTATTCTCGACGTTTCGGGCCCTTTTTAAAACAGTGGCTTCATCTGGTGGCTTGACTGTGCCATTAGTACTCTTAGTGGCGGCCAATAGTGGCTGCCACTAAGCTACTGGAAGCCGTTACGAAGTCGATAGGTGGCCGCCGCTAAGTCACTAATGGCCGCCACTAAGCAACTAGCGGCTTCGATTGGTGGCTGCATCTCTGCCGTCCTCAAACTAAAGAGCGGCGAAGTGACATGTGGTCGAGTTTCAGTCTTAAATTGCATCATATACAGTTTTTAGTTCTCTATCGATCTGTCTTTAACAAGTATTCGTATCTAGTTATATTTTTTTTATTGTTTTAAAGCATGTAACTGCTTGATGTTTAAATCTAAAGAAAATATAACTAGAAAAAAAAACCCACGCGGACCAGGCAGCAGACGGGACTCGAACCCGCACCCTTCACAATCCGGGCGAATGCACTGACCAATTATGCTACCGCGGCCCTCACGGACCGCGTCGAAATTCCTCTAGCCATTCTTAAGCTGCAAGGCAGCGCCATCTCTTCGCATTATAGGTGACCCACGGGTTCGAGTCCCGTCTGCTGCCAGGTCCGCGTGGATTTTTTTTTCTAGTTATAGTGTATGAATGGCTATAAAGCAATACTTTTAAGTATACACTCCATTTTTCGGATATATCTCAAAGTTGGTTTTGACATTTAGCCTCGTTTTAGCTTGAGGATGGCAGATCTGGTGTCTTGACTGTGCCACTAGTGGTCGCGATTAGTGATTCAATGTGCGCTTGCTCATACCGTCGTATTTATAAACAAGAATTAGAAATCAATTTGCTTAGGTCATTGCTTGTGCACCATTTTTCATTTCATAGTTAAGAAATATAACAAAGTAAGCGCAAGAAGAATTTTTAATTATGACAGATAATTAAAAATTCTTAACCAAGTAAAGTCGCTATATTGTACTTTACTGCTACTTAAGAATCTCATTATGTTAGTGATATATATTATTCGTTTATAAAATAAAAAAACTATTGAAGAATAATTCTAGTCTCAAGTTATGATTTGGTTGCTTAGCAACAAAGTCAAGCAACAAGTAATTACTTGTTTGTAAATACGACGGTTCATCATCAGCCTATTAATGTCTCCACTGCTGGGGCACAGGCCTTGCCTATGAGTGGAATAGGGAGATTGGGCCATGACCCATGCTAACGACTGCAGATGCAGCCGGGACCAACGGCTGAACGTGCCTTCCGAAGCACGGAGGAACTCGGAGATAAAAATTTTCGGTCACCCATCCAATGACCGGCCACTGCGAAAGTTACTTAATACGACGGTTACTGTCAACTGATTCCTAGAAGAATATGAAGCAGGGCTTGTAACCGGTTTCGAAAATACCGGTAAATAAAGGTTAATACCGGTTTTTAGTAAAGGTTTCGTTCGGAGCGCGTCCGAAATGAAAGCGGTACCTAAAACCTTAAATAAACCGGTTTAATCCAGAGCGACACGAGCACGCGTCCAGTTGAAGCATCGCTTGAAGTTTGTTTTGTTTGAACTAATCAAGACACAACTTGTTAATGCTCAGAGATTGATGCATTTATTGACACGTTTGCTAGCGTCTAGTGAGTCAAGTTATTCATTTTGTAGTTGTGTACTGACACACTACTTCATTCACTCGCTCTGTAGTTGGAAAGAAACTGACATAAAATCATTATAAATTTGAATTGAAACGGCGAAGGCGATGCCTTCAGTAACAGCGAAATGAAACCCTTTAAAAACCGCTAAATTGATTCAAAACCTATTTGATTTCGCTTTTTAGGAAAACCGGTTTTTTTAAGGTTAAGGTAGAGCCAAACCTAAATAAAACGCTCCTAATGTACTTGATACTAATTTAGGTTTGAAAATTAACCGGTAAACAAGCCCTGCCCCCCTAGCATGAGTAACAAAACGCGATATGATAAAGCGATTTATCGACACTCAACTGTCAAACTCCATTGTCGTTTGACAGGTAATGCCGATAAATCGCTTTATCATATCGCGTTTTGTTACTCATGCTAGGGGGGCTGATACGAAGTGCAAACTCACATGTCGCCGGTCGTCCCAATGCCTTGGCTACTTCAGGCATGTTCACAATGACAGTCTTGATGCCGTTGCCTTTCCCCTCCACTTTGGCGCAGATCCTCGGCATCTTGTAGCGGTAGAACGCGTCCGCGACGTTCCGATTCACGTTCACCGACCCCATGGTGACTGTTTGTTTGTCTGTCTGTCACCTCTCACACTAACGTTTAAATAGTACCTAACTAATTGTATCCGATTACGATGACGTAGATTGATTTAGTATTTTTTTATTTATTTAGTATTTTTTTTTTGGAAATCCTATCTTTTATCTCTAGTTATAAAGTGATTTTTGACACTGGATCTGAAACAAATTTTTGATTGGTTAGTGTATATGTTTTTGATGTAAGAACGATGAGGTGTGATGTAAAATTAAGTGTGATACATTAAAATATTAGCTACTATTGACAAACTCCGTGGCCGAATGTTTTGTACGCCGGGTTTCATGGTGTTGCAGACTCGAGAGGTCCCGGGTTCGGATCCCGGTGGCGGCAGATGTTTGTGTGATGAATACGAGCATTTGTACTCCAGTCAATGGATGTTTGATATGTATTTCTATATAAATTTGTGTGGTAGTACTGTAGTAAGGAGTGTTATACTAGAAGATTTATGAATTTGTAATGCTGTAATGATTATGTGCAAAATGTGTAGAACAGGTGTGATGACGGGGTACAGTAAACGAAATTCTATTTAGTCCGTCAGTTAGATGATCAAAAAATAATGGACACATATTTTTTCTTTGGGCAATCAACCAAAAAATGACAAAGTTATAGCGCGTCAAAGTTTGGGAGTAGGGGCTCATGACGTCACTTTTTAGTGAATACTCGCTTAAAAGTGTACTCAAACGTGACGTCATCCGACTTTTCAAATCAATATATCTCTGAAATGATTATATTATGTGAAAAAAGAAAAAATACGTGTCCAATACTTTTTGATAATGACGGTGATGTGTGACGGTGTGTGCCAGTGATTACAGACGTTCGTATACAACAGTGTGACAATGATTTGTGATTCTATGACGGTGTGTGCCAGTGATTACCGACGTTCGTATACAACAGTGTGACAATGATTTGTGATTCTATGACGGTGTGTGCCAGTGATTACCGACGTTCGTATACAACAGTGTGACCTTGATTTGTGATTCTATGACGGTGATGTGTGATGGTGTGTGCCAGTGATTACCGACGTTCGTATACAACACTGTGACAATGATTTGTGATTCTATGACGGTGATGTGTGATGGTTTGTGCCAGTGATTACCGACGTTCGTATACAACACTGTGACAATGATTTGAGGGCATGAGAACTATTGTGGCCTAACTCATTTTTTAACTATAGTGGCCTATCTTACTTAGGCCAGTATGGCACCTCAAATTTATATCACATACTAAAAACCGTTACAGTGATTATACTGCCATCTAGTGAATATTCGTTGTATTTATTTTTAGACCACTCTGGTTCTATCAAAATGATCAAATTGAACTGGACAAAATCATACTCAATATTGTAAAAAAATGAGTTTCTCATGCCACTATGGTTCTCATGGCCTCATTTGTGATTCTATGACGGTGATGTGTGATGGTGTGTGCCAGTGATTACCGACGTTCGTTAACAACAGTGTGACAATGATTTGTGATTGTATGACGATTTGTGTTGGTGATTGCTATTAAAAGCTACCAGCAATAGCGGCAGAGGGCTCACGGTCCCGTTGGCGCAGGCGGCATGCGAGATACTGCGACGATGTGCGATTATCTGACGATCGTATGCGGTGAGACATTGATTTGTGATTGTATGACGATGATGTGTGATGGTGTGTGCCAGTGATTACTGACGTTCGTCAACAACAGTGTGACAATGATCTTTGATTCTATGACGGTGATGTGTGGTAATACACAGCAATAGCAACGGACAGGGCTCACCGTCTTGTTGGCACAGGTGGCATTAGTGATACTGCAACGATGTGTGATTGTCTGAAGTTCGTATGCAATAATATGCAAATGATTTGTGATTCCACGACGGTGATGTGTGATGGTGTGTGCTAGCGATTACCGACGTTCGTCAACAACAGTGTGACAATGATTTAAATAAATAAATAAATAAATATTTCCGACACTCACACCAATTAGCCTAGCCCCAAAGTAAGCACTATAAGGCTTGTGTTATGGGATGCTAGGGTAACGGATAGAATACATATACTGTACATATATAAGTATATTTATATAGAAATACATATTAAACATCCATGACTGGAGTACAAATGCTCGTATTCATCACACAAACATCTGCCCCCACCGGGATTCGAACCCGGGACCTCTCGAGTCGGCGACAGCCATGAAACCCGGCGTACAAACCACTCGGCCACGGAGGTCGTCAAATTGATTTGTGATTATATGACCATGACTTGTGTTGGTGATTGGTATGAATAGCTTACCAGCAATAGCGGCAGAGGGCTCACGGTCCCGTCGGCGCGGGCGGCATGCGGGCGGCGGCCCCGCGGCGCCAGTCACGTCTGCCGGAGCGGCAACAGCTTCCGGTGCCTGTTACTGCAAAATTTTGATGCTCTGCAACAACGTCCGAGCGTTCAACGTCGGCACTGAACATGGCCATTCTTGTCGTGACAACAGAGTCTCTTTTCATTACCTTATACCCTCTTATTTATAAACAAGGCAAACATCGGCAGGGAGTTCATCCACATACTTTGGAACCACACTGGTCGCGTACAGTGCGCTTTCAGAGGCACTTTCTCCCACGCACGCTGAGGTTGTGGAACGAGCTTCCTGTATCGGTGTTCCCTAGAGACTACAGTATGGGGTTCTTCAAGAAAGGTATAAAAAGGTTTTTGCAGGGTCGGCAACGCGGAAGTAACACCTCTGGTGTTGCAAACGTCTATAGGCTGCGGTAACCGCTTACCATCAGGCGGGCCGCATGCTTGTTTCCTACCTTAGTGGTATAAAAAAAAAAAAAAAAAAAAAAAACAAAGAATAAGCTATTATAGAATTAAACTATTTACGCAGTGGTTGTACACATCACTCAAACGTCATTTGTAAATCAATGAACAGAGATAAAACACCGAGTGACTAATCCAAACTTATTCTTCGTCAATTAATAAGGGGGATAGAGTATGTAAGGATAACCTGCTGTCAAAATTACAAATAGCAAACACGAATAGCCATGTGAAGTGCTAGCATAAGGTGGCAAACGAGCATATGCTTCAATGGTGGCGAGAACCAACATCCCTATATCAGGGGGCCAATCGCCTAACTGGATTGCTTTGGAAAACGCTATCGCTTACGATTTCATTTTGTTATTTCTAGCCGCCTGAGGTTTTCAAATGCCTCGCGCTCTTTTTTTTTCTTTTGCATTGGTAATAACAATGTTAAAGAAAATGAGCGTGAGGTATTTGAAAACCTTCGGTGGTTAGAAATAACAAAATGAAATCGTAAGCGATAGCGTTTTCCAAAGCAATCTGGTTAGGCGATTGGGCCACGGGTGTATAAACTGGAAAAGCCAACGCAACTGGTCTCGCACTTAACATCAGGTTGGGTGTAGGGAGACCGTGAAGTAAATAACTCTGAGAGCTATCTACCTAGATGAACATAGTGCGCCTTCAATAGTGAACATTTCACATCATGTCCGTGAATTGGCATTCGTATAGACGCTACCGGATCCTGCCCATTAGGGCATCGATATTAATCCAGGGTATCCATTTAGTCATATTATGTTATTTTACGTTTTAATTGTTGCTCAATGATGTTTGCTTCTTTGGTCATGGAAATTAGCAAATATCGCAACGGCCTGTTACAGGACGAGTGGCAAAAAATTTACGAACTCGAGCTTTTCCGTGCCTCGGTAACCACGTTATACCGTTGGGCCCGGCTGTATCTGCAGTCGTTAACATCCACAAAATCAAGGCGAGATGGCCCAATCTTCCCGATTCCTTCAATAGGGAGAGCTCGAGTCTCGAGGGAAGATGTATGTCGGAGTGTATAACTTGAATTTCGGCTGTCTGTACCTTAAAGCTCGAAGAAGGAGGAGCTAGATGGCGCAAGTGGTAAGCGCGTTCGGCTGCGATCGTTGAAGTTAAGCAACTTTCGCAATGGTCGGTCATTGGATGGGTGACCAAAAAATTTACTATCTCGAACTCCTCCGTGCTTCGGAAGGCACGTTAAGCCGTTGGTCCCGGCTGCATCTGCAGTCGTTAGCACCCACCAATCCGCACTGGGCCCGCGTGGTGGGTCATGGCCCAATCTCCCTATTCCATCCATAGGGAAGGCCTGTGCTCCAGCAGTGGGGACATATATAGGCTGATGATATGCAGATATATAAAGCTGGTTGAGCAATGCTTAGTAACTCAGCCCATTCGCTCTAACCTAACTCTCTAACCCATGGGAGGTTAATCAGCGCACAGAAGTTTCTTCTTTCCTACAGAGGACTACGTGCGCTGGCCTAAGTTATCATCAACTTACTGTGGCCACTATTTCAACGCGACCAACGAAATTAGGTTAGGTTTCTTTTTACTTTTGTCGCACTATTCGCAAATGGAATGCTTTGCCCGCCCACGTTATCCCTCCATCCTACACAACCCGGGATCCTTTAAAATTATCTTCGCGTCTGCTCTTCACTGTCACTTAACATCAGAGAGACCCGAGGTTCGAGTCCCAGAGACGCCCTCTAGTTGAGCCGACCTCCTCAGGTTCGAGTGGTCTAGAGGCTCCAGACGGAGAGGAGACTCCCCCTGTGGAGAGATGCCATCCGCCTGAAATACCTCTAGAGGCACTCGCCAATTCTCGGCTTGAGGTCCTCTTAGGATCTCGCCGTCCCCAAACCCGGTGACGCTGTAAAGGTCATCCGCGACCAACAGCATACACTCAAAAAAAAATTAACATCAGGTGGAGTGCAGTCATTTGTCGGACCTATTTATAAAAAAGGGGGATGGGCCTACTTGGTTGTTATTGTTGTTCCTGGCAATCCTAAGGCTGGTTCAATGGCTGCTCGGGATGGGGAGCCTTTATTCACAAAAACTCCGGGACGTGCCCTCTCCTTGGCTATGACGACGACAAGGGCTCCTTGTTGGGAATCAACCACGCTGTTTCGGCGGCCTTGTCTCACCTGCAGCAGCATAATTGCAGCCGGCCGCTGTCTCTACACGAGGATTTCACACGCACAGATCATTCTCTCTATGTGTACGGGCGATGGTTGTGACTCACCTCCGGACAGTTTTGGCGGTCGTGTGCAGCGTCATTGCAGTCGGCCGCTGTCTCTCCGACACGAGGCACACGCACAGATCATTCTCTCTATGTGTACGGGCGATGGTTGTGACTCACCTCCGGACAGTTTTGGCGGTCGTGTGCAGCGTCATTGCAGTCGGCCGCTGTCTCTCCGACACGAGGCACACGCACAGATCATTCTCTCTATGTGTACGGGCGATGGTTGTGACTCACCTCCGGACAGTTTTGGCGGTCGTGTGCAGCGTCATTGCAGTCGGCCGCTGTCTCTCCGACACGAGGCACACGCACAGATCATTCTCTCTATGTGTACGGGCGATGGTTGTGACTCACCTCCGGAAAGTTTTGGCGGTCGTGTGCAGCGTCATTGCAGTCGGCCGCTGTCTCTCCGACACGAGGCACACGCACAGATCATTCTCTCTACGTGTACGGGCGATGGTTTTGGCTCACCTGCGGACAGTTTTGGCGGTAGTGTGCAGCGTCATTGCAGTCGGCCGCTGTCTCTCCGACACGAGGCACACGCACAGATCATTCTCTCTATGTGTACGGGCGATGGTTGTGACTCACCTCCGGACAGTTTTGGCGGTCGTGTGCAGCGTCATTGCAGTCGGCCGCTGTCTCTCCGACACGAGGCACACGCACAGATCATTCTCTCTATGTGTACGGGCGATGGTTGTGACTCACCTCCGGACAGTTTTGGCGGTCGTGTGCAGCGTCATTGCAGTCGGCCGCTGTCTCTCCGACACGAGGCACACGCACAGATCATTCTCTCTATGTGTACGGGCGATGGTTGTGACTCACCTCCGGACAGTTTTGGCGGTCGTGTGCAGCGTCATTGCAGTCGGCCGCTGTCTCTCCGACACGAGGCACACGCACAGATCATTCTCTCTATGTGTACGGGCGATGGTTGTGACTCACCTCCGGACAGTTTTGGCGGTCGTGTGCAGCGTCATTGCAGTCGGCCGCTGTCTCTCCGACACGAGGCACACGCACAGATCATTCTCTCTACGTGTACGGGCGATGGTTTTGGCTCACCTGCGGACAGTTTTGGCGGTTGTGTGCAGCGTCATGCACGCTCGACGGCAGCCGGCCGCTGTCTCCGACACGACGCACCGACCACTCTCCACGTACTGAACTGATTTCTCTGCAACAATACACACCATACTTTGAGGGTCTAGACTAGGACTGGAGAACAGTACAGCATTGGACTCCCTAAACGAATAATTTAGTAACTCAAAATAGTGATAGCATGACCAAGAATCAGAACAGATCTCATAGCTATACCTAATACAAGTCGTATTACCAGGTTCCAGGTTTCCGATGAGGCAACGTACGAGTGATACGCTGGTATAGCAAATTACTGTAGGCTACGGTAGCCATTCACTATCAAGAAGTTCAGATAAGTTTTCGTATTTTAATTTTCTACATGTCTTTGCTAGCACATTGTTCAGACAATAACTATCGAAAATATCAGATGATGAAGGCGCAATGGTTAACGATGGTTGCGTTGCGATTGTAGAAGTTAATAATTCATGGAATGGCCGGACATTGTCGTAAGTCCAGCATAGGAATAGGATTGTTCATGTGGTCATAAGATTTTTTCGCATCTTGTATATAAAATTCTCGTGTCACAATGTTAGTTACCATACTCCTCCGAAATGGATTGACCGATTTTTATCAAATTTTATATGCATATACAGAAGGTCTGAGAATCGGTTAATATCTATTTTTCATACCCCTAAGTGATTTTTGGCAACAGTTTTATTTTTTTATAATGTAGCATTAAAAAATACATACAACCCTAAATTTTCGCCCCTTTCCCACCAGCCCCTATTTTTGTGGCGGTACAGAGTTCGCTGACCCAGCTAGTATATTTTAGTGATGTAACGTATATTCGCATCCGCATTCGCAAAATCTATGCGAATGTTTTGCGAATATGAATATCAGAAAAAAAAACAATTTGAAGAAGTTGTGGTTCTTCCTTTCCTTGAATATTCATTGTTACACAGCTTGCATTTAGCTCGTTCAGCATGGCAAAGTGTGAAATTATAAGTCCATATTTCACTAGAATTTGATTTACTCATGTTAATAAATCACTATTCAAACTCTAACCTCAAAATTAACCGTTTTGTTTACAAAAAACTGGCGCGAGCGGAATGACACTTGTGTCGGATGAGTTCATATCAACTCGGCAATTCGAACGAGCCTGCCACATTGCCATAGACAATTAGCGCCAATTTTGAACACAAACTAAATATTCGCATTCGCGAATGTCGGTACCAGATATTCGCATTCGCATTCGCGAATCTACAAAAAATTACATTCGTTACATCACTAATATGTACATAACTTAGGATTATTTTGTTTGTTTTATGTATCACCGAGTAAATAGCTACGTGCTCACAATTTTGCGTATTATGTTTCGTAGAATTGTCATATCAATGGGATGCTGCGGCAAAACCATTAAGCGCATGAACAAACTCGAGAGCTGATCTGTTTTCACACGGAATGACGTCAATTTACCAAATAAACATTTTTAACTACTTAATTAATATCATATAAAACAAAGCAAATAAAATAATAACTATCTAAAATCGGAATCTTCAAATATGCATAAGACTTAATTTTAAGCATTTCATTTAATCTTAAATAGTTTGAGGGGTGATGACGGGGTACATATATAGTACGTCAGTTAGATGATCAAAAAATAATGGACACGTATTTTTTATTTGGGCAATCAACCAAAAAATGAAAAAGTTATAGCGCGTCAAAGTTTGGGAGTAGGGGCTCGTGACGTCACTTTTGAGTGAATTTTCCCTTATAAGTGTACTCAAACGTGACGTCATGCGACTTTTCAAATCAATATATCTCTGTAATGTTTATATTATGTGAAAAAAGAAAAAATACGTGTCCAATACTTTTTGATAATCTACCTGATAAACGAAGAAAAAAAAATTAGTCATCATCCCTCATACTGCATTATTGTCTATCAAATGATAGATAGACCATTTAAACTCGTCTCTTGATAATATTAGGTAAAGCACAACGCTAATTTTGAAATCTCAGCCAGTGTCTGTTCAACCAAAGAAATGGTCAAGATCGATAAAGAGGATCAATCAATAAAGAAAAACAGGTATCACAAATATTGCCATGGTATCAACACCAAAACGCATTTAATTTTAGGCGGAATATCAAGTAATTATACAACTCAGAGCCAGAGTCGTAGCTAAGGGGGCATCATTGCCCTACCTTAAAAATAATGCTTAGGGGGTACAAAATTCTGCTTATGCCCTATCTGAAATTCTAATCTGGCTACAGCCCTTGCTCAGAGCAGAACCACCAATCAAGCATACGGCCGATACAAACTGTATGTAATACTAGCAGTCCACCCTCGCTTCGCTTCGGTGTAGAGCTGAAGTGTAGACTACAGTTTTTGTTCTCAGGCTTGTATTATACACAATGACATTCATCTATGATTCTTCTTATACCTGCATGCAAAGTCTCAGCCCGATCGGTTTAAAATTGACAAAGTTTCATACAAACTTTCATTGCCTATTTTATCCCCTTGGGGGTAGAATTGATAAAAATCCTTTCTTAGCGGATGCCTACGTCATAATATCTACCTGCATGCCAAATTTCAGCCCGATCCGTCCAGTGGTTTGGGCTGTGCGTTGATAGATCACTATGTCAGTCAGTCACCTTTGAGTTTTATATATATATATATATATATATATATATATATAGATTATAAAAACACCAATAAAAGTCAAATGCAAAACGCACCATTGTTTATATGTTGCCTATGCATACTGGTCCGCGTGCCATACGAACGAACGGGCGAACAACGATACGTAAGGTCATCATCGTATCGAGAGAGACCACATTCGTTGTTGTTTACACACCTATCTGCACACAGTAAAAACAAAAAACAACTCACAGCAATCACTATCCTCGCATACCACGGCGGAGATCAAGGCGACAACATTCGCGCGTCGACGGCGCACGCGCAGGAGGCAACATTTCAAGTATTATCGAACTCGCGGCCGTCCTTGGAGGGCGACACTGTGATTGGTTAGCAAACTATTCGCGATAGGCTATAAATCATAGTCCGCGAGGCGATGCTTGACTTCGTCTCTCGTTAAAGTACATGTTGATATAATTTCAAGTCATAAATCCCATGAATTAAAAGCAGCAAATGATGACAACTATTTTAGTTAGCACCCACCAATCCGCACTGGGCCCGCATGGTGGGTCATGGCCCAATCTCCCTATTCCATCCATAGGGAAGGCCTGTGCCCCAGCAGTGGGACATTAATAGGTTGATGATGATGATGATGATGACAACTATTCCCATGATCGAACCTCAATAATGCCACATTTTGCTGTGGTTAGGCCTATATAGATATCGGAAAACAATGGCGATAGAATGCCAATCTTTAAACATACATGTTTTGATAATAAACTATCACTGACATGCTGTTAATACCTAAAACCGTAAGGAAAAATCTACATAAAATTGTCGTGACACAATGTTAGTTAGTTACCATACTCCACCGAAACGGCTTGACCGATTTTTATGAAATTTTATATGCATATTCAGTAGGTCTGAGAATCTGCTACTATCTATTTTTCATATCCCTAAGTGGTAAGGGTTGTTTTTTTATAATGTGGTATTAAAAAATATATACAACCTAAAACTTTCACCGTTCTATCACCAACCCCTATTTTTTAATAGTCATTTTCCCTAGAAATAATTTATATGGCAAAACAATGTTTGCCGTGTCAGCTAATAATACATATGTCATTAGATCTATCACGGATCTGACCAAGGGTTCAACTGAGACTAAAGTTCTCCGTATATCCCATAGCTTGAAATCAGTATCTAATGAGAAAATGAAACCTCACTAGATCCACCATGAATCTCCTGAGATGGATTGGTTAAAAAGTACAACTATACCAAATAAAAGGGAAATGTATTGAACAAAATGCAAACGCACGCGTGCTCGTAACGACAACTTTATGCCGCATTTCCCTGCACCTAATCTTACGCGATTCGACATGGCGCAAGCAAAACTCATCAGGTTTTAATTCCAGTTTCTTATGTGTAATGTACTCTTTAGAAATATATTATTGATTGCACATACCGATCTCGTGTCTAAAGTAATCGGCGACAATCATGCCACATAAAATAATGATCGGTGAGAAAAAGACGGCGGACTTTTTGGCGGGATCGGGAAGCGTCAGTTTAGCAATTTTGTTTTTCTTGTTAAAAATTGTGTTTGCATTAGGTGTTCACCGTCATTTCCGAAATTCACTTTGATGGACGGTATGTCGGTTTCATACATTTCGTCGCGACTAAAGTGCGGCCAGACGATGCCGAGATGAATCAGATACTCCGATTCACTAGCCCCTTGTATATTGGATAGCAACGTGATTTTAACCCCTTTAAAAATTCTTAATTCACTCGGCAACCCACCCGTTTTATTTATACCGCTGGGAATAATGGACTCCGTTGAAGTATTTTTTAAGGTTTCAGGTTGCGACAATAAGTTGGTCTTGAGCTTTCTTGCCGTACATTCGAGTACCTTTCTATTGACACACAGTAAAAACTTTTCTTTTAGAATGCTGTCCACAAAAAAGTCTATTGAATTCGAATTGTTCATGAAAATAAAAATGTATACTTTTTAGAATTTTCCTCATTTTTAAATATGGGGTGGACGCTTAAAGAAGACCGTGTTGCAGTTATTGCGCTACATCGTTGCGGTTACGCGCCAATTAAAATTTATGATACACTGAAAAATTTCATTTCTTTCTTTCTTTCTTTCAAATGATACAATGAAGACTCTAGTGTAGATGACAGGTCAAGAAATGGTCGCCCTCGGTCTGTTAGGACTCCAGCAGTGATAAAAGCTGAGAAGGCGCGAATTCAAAGAAATCCGAAACGTAAGCAGAAACTGTTGGCCCTTCAGATGGGCTTAAGCAGAACCACGGTGTAAAGTTGTAAAATGAAGGCTTTGGGCATATCGAAGAAAAACAGGACATCGTTTGAATGCTCGTCTAATGGACCTGAGAATGAAGAGATGCCGCGCTTTGTTGAAGCAGTACGCGGGAAAAAAACATCGGAAAATTCTTTTTCGGATGAAAAATTTTTGAAATCGACTTCACCCGGCCCTCCTCCAGTCCAGATTTGAGTCCGTTAGATTACAAGATATGGCAACACTTGGAGGAAAAGGCGTGCTCCAAGCCTCATCCCAATTTGGAGTCACTCAAGACATCCTTGATTAAGCCAATATTGACATGGACCTCGTTCGTGCTGCGATAGACGACTGGCCGCGCAGATTGAAGGCCTATGATAAGAATCTATGTTTTGGTTAAGTTCATTTTGGTATATAAATGGTTACATAATGAATAAACTTGTTTCAATTATTTTATATTAAACATGTGACAGAATTTATGACCTGACTAGGTTTACGCGGTGCTTTTTCAAGCGCAAACTCGCCGGTAGTATTTGAAGAAACCTGAATTAGCAATACTGCGAGAAGCTTGCTGCCCAGATCTCCGACCCTCAAGGCGTTCAAGCGACCATTAACCACCCTTAACATGCCATTCAGCCCTCGGCATGTTTCTCAACTTGGCTTGGGTGGGATCTTTAACAATCTACTATCCTATTTACACGTCAATATACATCGTATATAGATATATCAATATTATTCTATTTACAC